TATATATATATATATATATATACATACATATATTTATGTAGATATTAAAATATATACAAATAAATATATACAAGTCATAGAAAGAAGACTAAAACATAACGTTTCATATGCAATATATATTTCATATGACATTGTTGTCAGCAATTTCCCACCACTTCTCGATATTACAAATATTATTTTCTTTCAGATCCAAAAATATTGTGATATGAATTTTTTAGATTAATTTAAAAACTTAGTTAGATAATAAAAACTCAACATATAATCTGATAATTATACAGTTTGGCAAGCACATCTTAAAAATTAATAAAATTAGGCTTATTCGACGCGTTTTTAAATGATTTTATTGATTTTTGAGATGTGTATGCTAAATTGTATAATTACTAATAATCTAAAAATATTGATAATAAACACACAGTAGCCTTAATATAATTATTATGTATAGAATAAGCATTAACTAAACATAGTTAACCTCTCGTCTTAAAGATTCGCCCATTTACGAAAATTTTTGCACAATTATTGCTTGTTCTAATAATAAAGGTTGGGTAAAAAGACACTGTCCACCACAAAATTTACTAAAAATACACTGAATCAATCTTTTTATTTTAATGGCATCTGTCTTCTTTAAGGACTCCGCACAATAAAAGGAACTGGAAACAGAGAATAGAGAAAAAATTTTAACCTATCAGAAATCATGTATTGTGAATACACAGTTTCTGGTAGGTTGAAATTCTTCCCAGCAAATGAGAATGGATTAAAATGGATTGAAATTTTGTTCTATCCGAATGCGTATTTTAAATATTTTTTTTTTAGATTTAATTGGATTCAATTAGATTCAATTGGATACAATTGGATTGACAAACTGCATTTCCTATTCAAAATTTTGAATTTTGAAAACAATATTCACAATATGTGTGTTGTGCACAGAAAAAGTTAATATTATTTTTAGATTGAAAAGCACAAAGATATGCTCCATGCAATTCCTATGAATAAATAAAAATTTTTCATTCAGAATTGAAAAACATTCATTTTAACATTCGTGAATTAATATTTCTGAAAATCTGAATCCATTTCAATTCATTTCAATCCATTCTCGTTTCCTGAGTTATTCTCTGTTCTCTGTTCCCTGTTCCTTTTATTGTGCGGAGCCCCTTATACAATCTATAGGTCTGTTGTTTATTGCTGCACTCTGAATCGATGCAATAAGTAAGGTGAAACTATTATATTAGTTTCACTTCAACTTATTGCAATAAGTTGCACTATTGCTACTTATTGTACTAGTTCAAAAAGTACAGTAATAACGGCTCCTGCACACTGGACGCGGAAACGTTTGTCATGCAACAAAATGAGATTTGGTAACTAGAATTCTCGATATAAACGCAACCGAGCATATTTAAAGGTTATAATTAATCGATCAAAAAAAAATGATGACCTGTATTTACATCTGTCATTCCGCAAATGGAGTGCGACTCCTACAACAGTATTGTTTCTACTGACTACAAAGAAATACTGATCTGAGTCCTTGGAGACTTGGAGTATACATATCAAGATTTAAAAATAACGAAACTAGAATCCTAGAAGACTATCCGTAGAAAAAATGACAGAATCAATCAAAAATCGGGATAACGGTTGCGCTTCTCTGTTATTTCTAGGATCTCCAGCGGTAACCAATGAACACCTTAGGAACTGTAAGCTTATTGGCTACCGCATTACATTTTGTCGCACGACAAGCGTTTCCGCGTCCAATGTGCAAAAGCCATAAAAAACAGACTTTTAAGCGATACATGATGCTTGATTTTCTGTTGGATTGTCAGCTAGATTAAAATTTTGTCATCGTATTAGCTACGATCGTATTGGCTGTCAGTGCTAGCATCGTAACGGTGACAAGATTCTAATCCAACAGCAATTCAGCAAGAAAACAAGCATCGTATGCCGCAGTTTATTGGTTGGAGACATCCAGAGGGTGCCGTCCCATTCATAGAACTATAATTAAGACACTATAATATAAGTATTTGCATCCGCCATTTTTAGTTCTTTTCTCATTCTCTTGCTCCTTTCCTCAATCCCTTGCTCTCTCTGTCCATTCCGCCGCTAAACTAAAAAGATTGAAGAGAGAAAAAAGAGGAAGGGACTAAAAATGATGGATGCGAATATATATTATAGTACTCTACTATAATATAAGCATTCGCATCCACCATTTTTAATTTTTTCCCACTCTGTTCTCTCTTCAATTTTTTGTCTTCTTTCTTCAATCTTCTTGGAGCGTTTTTTTTTTGAGATACACTAGGTGCAGTCTCGCATCGCACTAGTTGCATGTAAGTGCTACACTCATTAAAGTGATGCACACTATGGTGTATAGTACATCATTATTGCGCTAAAATCCTGTTCCCGCTTGACTTCTATTTTCAAATTTTAAATATCATACTGGCTCTACACCGCCTCTTGAAAACGATGTAGCAAAATCCCATTTTATGCATAAAATTTGCACTACACTAGTCATGGAAACATGATACACTAGCCTAGTTTCCGAGAGTTTAAAATCAGAATGGAAGAACCAACCAACTACAAGTATTTTCCTCGTTCGATTGTAACAGGGGAACTATTCGACTGCAGTTGATTAGTTCTTATATTCAGATCCGGATTAAACCCTCAGTGGAAACTAGGTCACTGTCTGAGTGTTGCACTAGTAAACAATAATGCCAGTCAAGAGAAAATGCTATTAATTTAGCGGCGAAGTGGAGAGAGAGCAAGGGATTGAGGAAGGAGCAAGAAAGTAAAGAGAGAAAAGACTAAAAATGGCGGATGTAAATACATATTGGATGTGTTTCGATATACACTGGCAGTACTGAAAAATTGTTCCGCTATTACGACGCAGCGCGCTGTACAGTATCTAATTCCTTCAATGACATCATAAATGATAGCCATATTGCGACTATTGCGGCTTTCGAGGTAAAGTAGTTACAGTGCATGATGTCATTTAAAGAAGCACAACGCATCGAAATATTCGATCCAGGAAATACAAAAATATATACATTATATTTAATTGCAGAAAACATATATTCATTTTATCGAAAATGACTCTTAAATTCCACATCTAAATATTCACTCTTAAATTCCACATCTAAATATTAACTGATGTGTCCATACAGTTTTTAATACGAGGTCAAACTGCTTGAATTGGTGATTCCGTAATTAGTTCATCTTCTTCAGAAGTACTATCGTTCTTGCTGTTTCAAAATTTATTGACAATTTAGTAATTTATCCATGTCTGTTTACACTACTGCCAGTCTACTGCAAAGCCATTTCGAAATACAATGTTACAATAATGCTGATAGTAATTTTGGAACGGCTGCGGCAGTGCACTGTTGTGACGTTATGATGGTTGTCAGTAAAAAGGGAACACATCCACTATCGCACTAATGCACACACACAGACAGTGTACCGTGGATGCGTTCTTTTTGCATGAGTATTTAGTGGCATGGAGTGCAGGGTATGTTCCGTTTCTCCAATACACTCCAGTATTAGTTTTAGTAACGGAACAGATTCGCAGTGAATCCATGCAGTGAACATGGATGACAATTTAAAATAGACTGAATTACAAATGCATTCAATAATTACTGTTACATTTTCTTTTTTGACAAAAGAAGATTTATATTTTTCGAGCAGCACTTACAATCTTATTCTACAGGAAAAAAAAAAAATAAAACGTTTTACCAAAATGTTCAAAAAAGATGTTTAATATCTATTTCTAAAATATTAGAAATTTAACAAAAATTTTATAGATTATTCTTACATATGTTCAGACACTTATAACATAATCCGAAATCGATTCACTGTGAAGCAATTTGAAGTTATAAGAGTTTAAAATATAAAGATTTTAAAGTTAAATTTGAGATACTGTCACTATAAAAAATTTTTCATTTTTTTCAGAAATAATTAGCAATAGAGATTCAAAAGTACATTTCTGCATTTTAGTTATGAGTGAATGATAAGATTCTGTCTACAATCTTTATTATTCAAATCATGAAAACAATACATATTCGTCAAAATCAAATTTCAGAAATTTTTTGCTACAATTATATATACAAAACATCCTTAAAGTTCGTTATTTTTACTTTTCTCTATTTATCTTGTAAGGATATGACTAATGTAAACTTAACGTCTATCATAATCTACTATTTTATATTCAAGAATTTAAAACGTTATGAAAAATAGCAGTAATATATCAATATATTAATTTTTCAATATTATATAAATCAAAGATTAAAAACTGATATTCTATAGCGGTATACACAAAATCGAGAGCCAAATACCAGTATTGAAATTCATACCGTTAAATACCAGTATTCAAATTCATAATATCAGTATACGCATAATTTTTCGGTAATAGATTATATCGTATATATATTATATAATACATGTATATATGAAATGTTAAATTAAAAAAATTTTTGGATATTCTGAGCATCCTACTTACGTATTTTTAATTCTTACATGATTTTGAGTACACTCGCTTCAACCGAATGATTTCAGTTTCGCGCTACAATACATTAAATGCATAAGCTGCATAAACTGCCTCAGCTCGAGAGGTGAGGTGCAGTCTCATGCATCAGAAGAGGCGGGGTCATGCAATTGGCGGTAGGTTGAATCATGCATGCAGCGAGTGTGCAGAAGAGAAACAGAACGAACTTCTATGCTTCTATGCGCATCATGCAAGAAACGAAACGCACCTCGTGTTTCCATGGCTAGTGATAAGCGAACTCATTTGATGTACCGTAGTGTTGTTAAGCCTTATATCCACGATGCTAGAAATCCATCCGAGATCTTGGATAGAGGAAAAATTAATAAATTACATTTGAACAATTTGATCACATGACTATTGCAATTGGTCAATTCTTTCTTCATCCGAAGTCTCGGATAGATTTCTAGCACTATGGACACAAGGCTTTAGACAGGCCGGATTTTAGATGCATGCGCATCAAATGTAGCTTCAGTAACATACCGGTTACTAGTAAATATGTCAAATTTTTTCAAAAATGTATAGAAATATATTATACATATGTATTTATATATATGTATTTAGATATGTATACATAAGTAAAATATGTAAAATATATTAAAATTTTCAACATTTTCAATCTTAAGCGATTAATGACTAACGATCACGGTATAAGAATAATAGGTGATTCCTCGCCCATTTTTGCCCAGAAAAGCTGTGACGAAATTGAGGCAGTTCAGACATGTAACATTAGAGGGCATAATGGTCTGACATCTAAATGGCCTTTGCAATCTTTCCAATTCATAGTCATTCAAGTAGCATTTCTTTTTATGGTTAAAATCTACAGTATATATCCAACTTTCACGATTTTCCTAATTGTCCCACCAATCATGTGTAATAAATGTACTAATAAATAATAAAATTGTTTATTATGTTGTCACTTACCTTAATCTTACTCCTGTCTCTTGAAATTCCTTGGGAAAAAATGTTTTATATAATTTTGTATAATTATATATAATTATATATAATTTTTTAAATACATATATAATTTTAAATATATATATATATATAATTTTATATAATTATCTATGTATAAAATATTTTTCCTGAGGCTTATGAGGTTAAGTGTTATACTTATTAAATGTTATACTTATACGCCACCTGCTGTTCAACTACGGAATTTCTTCAGGAAAATCACAGTGATTTTATATGAGTGGAATCACCTATTATTATACCATATCCTCGAATTTGATCTGGTTTGTTCTGTTCTCCTTGTTTTTACTCTATGAGGTAGTCCTACACATAACTGTATAACTTATGCTTGAATTTTAATCCATCAATTTGCGTCAGTTTCTCCGACCATGGTTGTCTTCATTTATTGAATCTTGTTTGAAAAGTGCTGACGGGCGATGTCATAAGCCACGTAATATTTTCGAATTCTAGAGGAAGCCGCGATTCGCGGTGCTATTCTTAAGGAATTGTTCAGGACAAGAAATTGATGTCGTTTCTGTCACTTAGGTGAGTGATCTTATACTATGTAATTTTCCTCAGCTTGTATTACTCGGCGACTCGGCTCACCGGATGCCTGTGTAATATCTTCAGATTCGCAAGAAAGAATTGCGTAGTAATAGAGAAGGTGGCGAAAGATGTTGATCAGCAGCCAGCCGTGCAATCTAGTCATATATATTATCATTCACTAGCTTGTTCTAATGTTGACGCATTGAGGGATAAGCATTGAACGAACGTGGATTTCGAGCTGCCGCGTGGGGAGTGGGGTGATGATGCAAAATAATTCCAAGACCAGAGAGATGTTTATCGTCCGAGCCTTGGAAAAGATATTGGCTGATCGAGATGTCAAAAGATCACACCTCTCACAGCTCAGGAAATCCTGCGAGTCTGCGCTTGGTAAGGAAGTTTAGCATAATATATGCAACTTATAATTATAAGTAACACTGATGACTAAATTTGTTGTTTTTATATTTCTATCTTGCAGAGGATCTCCGCAATGAGATCAAAGATGTACCAGCTGTGCAGGGTGAAGAGGTAACCTCAAATGCCCTTCCACAACCCAAGAGTGATTCAAATGTTATTACAGCTGAGAAGTACTTTCTGCCATTTGAGTTAGCATGCCAGAGCAAGTCACCACGTATCGTAGTGACAGCACTGGACTGCCTGCAGAAGTTAATAGCATATGGCCATCTTACTGGCAATGTACCCGACTCGACGGAGCCTAATAAGCTGCTGATTGTACGCATTGTCGAGACAATTTGTGGCTGCTTTACTGGTCCACAGACTGACGAAGGTGTACAGCTGCAGATTATTAAAGCCCTGCTGACTGTGATGACAAGTCAGCATGTGGAGGTGCATGAGGGTACAGTACTGTTGACAATTCGTACAGTTTACAATGTTTATTTGGCATCACGTAACCTGGTGAATCAGACAACAGCACGCGCAACCCTTACGCAGATGATTAATGTGATCTTTGCGCGAATGGAGACTCAGGCAGAGGAAGATAATATAAGAATCGATGGAGAGCATCAGCAGGAAATTCCTATCATAGTGAATGGTGAAACTGAAACTGAGTTAAGTTCAGAAAATGTTCCTGGTAATGATTCTGTTGATCTCCAAATAATTGTCAGAAGTATCCTTGATGATGTAGTGAAATCCGTGGTACCATTGGAAGAGGAAGTCAATCTGGAAAATGGCAGTCCTGAAGACAATGGTGATGAGACAGTCGCTGAAAATGACAACATGGTAACTGCCAAATTCACTCATGTGCTGCAAAAGGATGCATTTCTGGTGTTTCGTGCTCTGTGCAAGCTCTCTATGAAACCACTGCCAGATGGCACACCTGATCCAAAATCACATGAGCTCCGTTCCAAGATCTTGTCGCTTCAGTTGCTTCTGGGTATCCTGCAGAATGCCGGTCCGGTATTGCGTTCCAACGAGATGTTCGTTATCGCTATTAAGCAGTATTTGTGCGTTGCACTATCAAAGAATGGTGTGTCTTCAGTACCAGAGGTGTTTGAACTATCATTGGCATTGTTCTTGGCGCTGCTTGCACGCTTCAAGGTGCACCTGAAGATGCAGATCGAGGTATTTTTTAAGGAGATCTTTATGAACATCCTCGAGACTTCTAGCAGCTCCTTTGAGCATAAATGGATGGTTATACATGCACTTACGAGGATCTGTGCAGATGCTCAGAGCGTCGTCGACATCTATATTAATTACGATTGCGATCTTTCGGCAGCGAATCTCTTTGAAAGGCTTGTCAATGATCTTTCTAAGATTGCTCAGGGTCGTCAGGCTTTAGAGCTAGGTGCGTCACCAAATCAGGTACGTTATAAGCGTGAAAATGACAAGATAGATATATGTATCCAGTATTTTTTTTTCATAGAGTTAAGAGTTATCAATTTTATTATCACAAACAATACTGTTTTATGCTAATGAAGTGCTGTTTTAAATATTTCAGAGCTCAGAATATCTCTTTTGTATCTAATTTTAAATGAAAAAATATTAGGTTTTGTAAATTATAATTTTCATTTTTTTCCTAAAAAAAAGTATAAACAAAATATAATAACAAATTGAAGTAATAATTAGTTTAAGAATTCTTTTAATTAATAGAATAAAGAATAATATAAATCAAAAGCCATTAGGAGTCAGCGCTAGAACAATATTGCGCAAAAGTATAATAATAATATAAATATAATATACAATAATATATAAATATACATAAATTTAATCGATTCTTGTTCAATAAGTTGTTTAGCATCGATTAAATTTGTATATTTATATTATTGTGTATTTGTATATTTATGTATATTATAGTTTTGCGCAATATGATTCTAGCGCTGACTCCTAACGCCTCATGATTTATATTGTTCTTTATTCAAGCAAAATACAGTTATTAAGACTTTATGCAAAATTTTGCAAAAATTTTCTTTATGCATCAAACTCATTCAAAGCTTTAATTAATAGAAGTTTCAAAAACTTACATGGTCAATATTTGATATAATAACGGAAAATATATTGATAAAAAGTAAAGTTGTATTTCTTTATAATTAAAAGTGGAAGAGTGAATAAAAAACTTCAAGAATTTGTTTAAATCTTTCTCCTTCCCTGGATATGCCCATTATTTAGTGAATGTTCTTCAACAAAACGATATCTAAATTAATATAGTATTTTGTCCTTCCAGGAGAAATCTATGCGCATCCGTGGTCTCGAATGCCTTGTATCTATTCTGAAGTGCATGGTGGAGTGGAGTCGAGATCTCTATGTGAATCCTAGTGTACCGGCAGACCAACAACCGTTGTCAGATTTACCAGATACGGCGCCAGAAATCCCATTGCCACGTTATGGCAGCGCCGGCAGCCTCTCGTCGGCCAATTCCAGTTTAATCGGTAATAAGGAGGTACCAGATTCGCCGGAGCAGTATGAAGTGCAGAAACAACAGAAAGAAGTATGGGAGACTGGTATCGAGATCTTTAGCCGAAAGCCTGGCAAGGGCGTGCAGTATTTGCAGGAACAAGGATTGCTTGGTACTTCGCAGGAGGACGTAGCCAGGTGGCTGCACCTGGACGAGCGGCTCGATAAAACCGCCATTGGGGATTTTTTGGGTGACCATAATCATAATCAAGTAATGAAAACAATTACAATTAATAGATTATATTAATTGAATCAATGAGTGCAGAAAGGGGATAAGTCATTTATTAAATTTTTTTAGTATTAACAAAAAACTGTTTAATTTTAGTTAGTCCAGGAAAACTAACAAAATTACTTTAAGAAAATTAATTTAAATATGACATTTAATAATGTTTTTGAAACATTATGAGTTCCTAAAATGCTTGTTTATTAATTGAAAAACTAAAACTTCAAGATTGGATTCACTCTTTTTGTACTCAAAATTCCTTCTGCATTAAAAAAATTTAAATATAATGCGCTATTAAGATACTTTACTTATCTGAAATTGTCTCTTTATATGTTAAAAAAATATAAGATAATTTACACAAAACAATTTCGAAGCATTGACTATTAAAGCATTGATAAGATACTTTACTTATCTGAAATTGTCTCTTTGTATGTTAAAAAAATATAAGATAATTTACACAAAACAATTTCGAAGCATTGACTATTAAAGCATTGACTATTAAAAAATCTTTCTAATTGCTTTTTAAATTTAATCATTGATCATTCAAAAATCTTAAAAAAACTATATTTTGACGAGATGTAACTTTTCAATTTTTCCAATCTTGCAAGTCTTGTATTTATTTCCTTTTTATACTCATTGTTCATTTTCAACATCTACTTTATGCCCTTGAAAAAACCTGAGAGTATTTTGTTTGCATCAAAAGTGTAAGATTTAAAATTAATGGAAAGAAATTTATTTTCGAAAAAAATTGGACTCATTTCTTTTCTGCACACTTGCCGATTCAATTATAAATACGTAAATATAAATACGTAAATGATTTGTCAGTTTTGATCACTTTATGATTGCGTGATAATTATGTTAATAATTAATTTAGACAGTGACTAATTTTGTATACCGTTTATTGCAGGTAATGTACCATTATATTGACCAAATGAATTTTGCCGATCGCGATCTAGTAACCGCGCTCAGATATTTCCTGGAAGGCTTTCGGCTACCTGGCGAGGCACAGAAGATCGACCGATTGATGGAAAAGTTTGCTAGTCGCTATTGCGAGTGTAATCCTAATAACGGTCTTTTTACGAGCGCGGATACAGCTTATATTCTTGGCTTCTCAATCATAATGCTGACCACCGATTTGCACTCGCCGCAGGTTAAGAATAAAATGACCAAAGAACAATACATTAGGTACGTTCAGTGGTTTTTTGTGTTAATTATAATTTACAACAATTTAAATTGTGAGCAGTAAACTTTAAAATTCAGGACATTCTTTAGAAAAATTTTTATGACCAGTGTCATGTTCGAAAATGTCGACAGTTGCTACGAGAATATGCAATAAAAAAAATAGGAATTTTTAAAAATATAAGATAGCTTCCACCTGACATTAAAAACTCAGTCCGAGATCAAATTATTATACACATCTCTAATATAAATAATACTTAATATAAATAATACTTTTAATAATATTCAGAGTCCTGAAATCTATGAATTAAATACTAGTAGCAAGAAAGTTTCTGAAAAAACAGTTATAAAAATATTTAATATATAATAATTTATGATATTATAAAAATAGTGATTGTGCTCTCTATGTATTTTTTTCATACATATCTTTTTAATTATAAAAAGTCTTTTCTTATTCTTTTCTTTCATTCATCAGGCTTAATCGGCGCAACAGTGACAATGAGGATCTTCCTGAGGAATATTTGTCTAGGATCTACGACGAAATTGCCGGCAACGAGATTAAGATGAAGTCGAATCCTAATAATAGCCGGCTTGCCGGAAAACAGTTGATTTCTAGTGAAAAAAAGCGACGGTTGTTATGGAACATGGAAATGGAAGTAATTTCTACGGCGGCGAAAAATTTGATGGAATCTGTCAGTCATGTTCAGGCACCGTTTACTACAGCGAAACATTTGGAACACGTGCGGCCGATGTTCAAAATGGCCTGGACGCCGTTTCTCGCGGCCTTCAGTGTTGGACTTCAAGACTGTGATGATCCAGAGATTGCGTCGCTCTGCTTAGATGGTATCAGGTAAGAAGAAAACATAGAATGAAGAAAGACAGATTTAAAACATGCTATACTTTCGTTGTTTTATATTACTTATATGTTATTTTAGATGTGCCATTCGCATTGCCTGCATCTTTCACATGAGCCTCGAACGCGATGCCTATGTACAAGCTTTAGCGAGATTCACTTTGTTGACGGCCAACTCCCCCATTACCGAAATGAAAGCGAAGAACATCGATACTATCAAGACTCTTATCACAGTAGCTCATACCGACGGTAACTACCTAGGCAGTTCATGGCTCGATGTCGTTAAATGCATCTCCCAGCTGGAATTAGCACAGTTGATAGGCACTGGAGTACGGCCACAATTGCTGGGTCCACCGTCAAAACCGCACTTCCCCTCGCCATTAGCAAATTTCGGCAGTCTCGCGCACTCTGTCAATTCACACCAAACCAACAATCTCAATCTGAGCTCTTTGGATCCTAGTGTGAAGGAGTCCATTGGCGAAACTAGTTCGCAGAGTGTCGTCGTAGCCGTTGATCGTATCTTCACTGGCTCGACGAGACTCGATGGTGATGCCATTGTCGAATTCGTCAAGGCTCTCTGTCAGGTATTTCTTTCTTAAGTTCAATTAATGATTTTTACATGAATATGAAATTATATAATAAATGTTTAATAATGATAAATAATTTTAGGTATCCCTTGAGGAGTTAGCACACCCCACGCAACCGCGCATGTTTTCTCTTACGAAGATTGTTGAAATTTCATACTACAACATGGGTCGTATTAGGTTGCAGTGGTCTAGAATCTGGCAAGTCCTCGGTGATCATTTCGACAGAGTGGGGTGCAGTCCTCGACAGGATATCGCATTTTTTGCGGTGGATTCTCTGAGACAACTAGCTACCAAGTTTATCGAAAAGGGCGAGTTTGCCAATTTCAGATTCCAAAAAGATTTTCTTAGGCCATTTGAACACATCATGAAGAAGAATAGGTAATTTGATTCTTTTAATTAATTAATTTTGATTAATTTAATTTAATTGCAATTATATAAATTGTATAATTCGACCTGTTATAATTTATGTAAAACATTTTTTATAACATAACATCAATTTATTGGGATATGTTAAACGTTTATAAAAGTTTTACAATATATTCCAAATTTTAATATATCTAACAATTGTTTAATTATGATGTAATTTAATTAAATGTGATTTAGGTCGCCTGTGATTAGAGATATGGTTGTGAGATGCGTAGCGCAAATTGTTCATTCGCAAGCACCGAATATCAGGTCCGGTTGGAAGAACATTTTCAGTGTTTTTCATCATGCGGCCAGCGATCGTGATGAATCTGTGGTCGAGTTGGCCTTTTCCATGACTGGCAAGATTATTAGTGAGTTACATTTTTGTGTTTACTTTAAGACAGTTTAAGAGATTAGTCACTATGTTTTTGTCTATGATTTTTCTCTTTAGTCATAATTTAAATTGAAATATTTTAAACAGATAATGTGTGTGTGTTAATTCTGTAGTCATTATATCATTATAGGGTGAGTACATAAAAAGTCTCAGACTGATGAAATATCTCAAAAATAAAAACATTTTCAGAAAAAATGATTCAGATAAAAGTTTTAGGGTTTAAAAAGATTTATTTATTGATCACATTTGTTTGATCCTGAACAACATTCAATAAGCGTCATTTTAGCCATCGATCAGATATTTTAGATAATGCTAACTCATTAAAACTTGAAACTTGAACTTAATGAAAATGAACTTATTGCAGTCTTTTAAAAAGTTCTTGACATCACTATTAAATTCTGGAATAAAAAATAAGGTGTCCTATTAAAAAAAATCAATGTTATTCTTGATCTGACATTTAACCATTCAAGGTCAAATAGTGATCAGTAAATAGATTTTTTAAAACCCTACAATAATATCATTTTTCCTAAAAATGCTTTGTTTTCGAGATATTTTACCAGTTCGGGAATTTTTATTTGTACAATTTGAGTGTAATTTTTTCTCAGACGAGTTATATGCAGAGGACTTCAGTATTATGGTGGACTCTTTCCAAGACGCCGTCAAATGTTTGAGCGAATTTGCGTGCAATGCGTTTTTTCCGGACACTAGCATGGAGGCAATTCGGCTAATACGTTCCTGTGCTTCTTATATCGATGCAAATCCCAATTTATTTGCCGAGGGTATGATGGATGAAAGCGGAATGGTCTCTGAAGAAGATCGAGCTTGGGTATCGTTATCTTAGCTTATTTATTAACATTATTAACATTATTTATTAATTGCTTGACGCAATTGTTATCTTTTTTTTTTTTTTTAAGGTGAGAGGATGGTTTCCACTGCTGTTTGAATTATCCTGCGTTGTGAGCAGATGTAAGTTGGATGTTAGGACACGCGCGCTGACAGTATTATTTGATGTCGTCAAAACTCATGGTGCATCCTTCAAGCCTCATTGGTGGAAGGACCTCTTTCAGGTTCTTTTTAGGATCTTTGATAATATGAAGTTGCCCGAACAGCATACCGAAGTTCGTATAATTTCCGAGTTTAAAAAAAGAAAATAAATGCACCTCTTCTGATATTATTTGAACACCTAAATATTTAAATAATCTATTAAATGTTGCAGAAAGCTGAGTGGATGACAACAACGTGCAATCATGCACTGTATGCCATTGTGGATGTATTTTCACAGTTTTACGATATCCTGGGTCCTTTGTTGCTAGAACAGCTCTATTTTCAGCTTCTCTGGTGCGTTCAGCAAGATAACGAACAGTTGGCACGATCGGGCACCAATTGCTTGGAAAATCTGGTCATTAGTAACGGCATCAAATTTGACGAGCAGACTTGGCAGAAAACTTGTCAATGTGTCTTAGACATTTTCGAAAGTACTTTACCGTCTGCGTTGCTTACATGGAAACCACATTCACCAAACAAGGAATCGGACCTTGACGTGATTACCGGTGAATCCGATGGTTTTCATGTTGGTATTTTGAAGAGGAGCAACAGCGCACAAAGCTTAAATACTGAGATCTTGCCGAAGGCAAAGCTTTTCTCCGCGTTGCAAATTAAGTGCGTAGTCCAGCTTGAGTTAATACAGACTATCGACAACATTGTTTTTTATCCGGCGACATCGCGCAAGGAGGACCAGGAGAATTTAGCGCTCGCGCAAGCCGATATGTTGAACGGCAAATCGTCAGAGCTTGTAAAGTGAGTGTCCTGTCATTGCGTCAATATTTTAAAATTGTATAATATACAGTTTATATGGAATGCAAATTGCTTTTAGGGCTGGCGCTGATCAGCAGAAGGAGGAACAAGGCATGTACTGCGCTCTGACAACCAATCATCTCCTGCAGTTAGTAGAATGTCTCCTACGGTCGCATCGCTTCGCTAAGAGTTTCAATTCGAATCACGAGCAACGCAATGTATTGTGGAAGGCCAGTTTTCGTGGCAACATGAAACCGAATCTATTGAAGCAGGAGACGCAATCGCTTGCTTGTGCACTGCGTATTCTCTTTAAAATGTACAGTGATGAGGCGCATCGCACAGATTGGTCCAAGATTGAGGCGCGACTGGTTGAGGTAGCATGCGAGGCTCTGGAGTATTTCCTGGCGCTCGCCAACGAGGCTCATCGCGATGCCTGGACCCCGATTTTGCTGCTGCTACTCACCCGAATCATCAAGATGAACGATCACCGCTTCGCGATTCATGCCTCCACCTGCTATCCCTGCCTCTGCGAGGTTATGTGTTTCGACCTCAAGCCCGAGCTCAGATCGATATTGCGCAGATTTTTCCTCAGGATCGGGCCAGTCTTCAGAATTACACAACAGTAGTGATGGATTACCGGACAGGTATTCAGGATCGTCTCGAATAGGGTCGATCAATCGATTGATTGATCGCAACATCGCTCGTAAAAGAGACGATATTGTATACCCGTCTCTATAGCGTGGGCGATAAGATTGTAATTAAATGTAAAGCGCGGTTAGATACTTTAACTCGTGTTGAATTATTTATGTACGATTCAACGACTTTCACATATATTTATATACTGCATCGAACTTTCTTAGCATGTCTTTTTTATATAGCATTGCACATAACGCTAAATGTGATTCGGATTTTATCATGTCTATTTAATGTACATACATATTCGTAATATATTAATTGCATTAAATTGAGCACATAATGATTATGACATTATAATCAATAAACTTGTAATATAATTGAATGTTTTATTCATTATTATTTTATTTATATTAATAAACCATTAATAAGTAATGTTGATATTCTCACACAATTAGTTAAATATGCGAATACACATTATACCTTCATAAAACGTTTGTCGCAAAAATCGTTGGATCGTATATGAACGAT